CGATGAAATTTCTCTAGCCCAAGAGGCTCCTCATCAAAAATTGGCGGATCGTCGTAGAGATCGTCCACTTCGCCGATAAGACGCTCCTCCACCTCCTCGGGTCCTTCATCAAACAAATGCGGACCATCGTACAATGGTCCGTCAACTTGCTCTCCGTCAAATTCGGGGATGTCAACACAAAATGGGCCCTCACATCGACCATATTCGCGATCAAGTTCCCAGTCGCGCTTGTGTCAGGCACGATATTCACCGGCGAAGGCAGCCTCCTCGCACATGCCTCTGTATTCACGTTGATTATCGTCGTCCATGAAGACTGGGCCCCATCGCCACATGTCACGACCACCGTATGCAGCGAAGGGGTCAGCCTCGACGTGCGGAGGTTGCCACTCGCCGAAGGGATTCACCTCCGAGATGGTATCCTCGGCCTCCACGTCCTCTGTGAACTCCCCCGCGAACGCCCCCGTTGTCGGCGTCACGGTTCGTCTGCAAATCTTCAACTACGTTGTTGATCGTAAGACACAATTCTTCGATCCCCGTCGAAAGATCCTCAACCTGACAATCCAATTGGTGGATCTGACGGCCGAAGCCCGTGGCTTGTCGACCCAGAAACTCAATGGTGGTGTCACGCCCGTCGATGTCGTCCTTCCATGGTGGCATCTTGAATCGTGCTGACTTCTACCAACTGATGTAGGGAAGCGTATGAGTGGGACAATATTAATGAGATGACAAACTCAAGAACATCTAAACACGATATCAAATCATATTTTCGTTCAATAATTCATAATCAACTAAAGATAACAAAAGAGAGGGAGTCCTTTATATAAGACTCCTAAACCCTAACAGTAATTTGCTCACCAAGACTAAACATAGATAACGAATAAATATAAAATGCTAATAATAATAAAGATACTTAATAAACTACCAAATATTCTAATACCAAAATAATATAATAGATATTATCCTGCATCATCGACCTTGGAGACGACCTGCAGAAAGGGACAGAACCCAGCCCGAAAAAGAACCCAAAAACTCCTGCAAGCGGCTAGTTGGTGTTGGATTCTGTTTGGAACGTCAATAACATGCACATTTGAATTTGAAAAAATAAACCTTAATGCAACAAAATCTATAGTTAGGGTTATGACATTACCGTTTTAAGATTTTTGCCGACTCAGAGATATTTCTGATTTCCTTTAATGGAGATCGTCTAAACACCAGAGTCCGATGGGCTAACGGATCTGGCCTTTCTCGATTCTGATCGAGTAGTTAAAACACGAATGAATCACAGATTTGGGCTCGATGGGCTTGGGCCGGCCGGATCAGGTTCGGTTCATCGGGTTGACTCAGTTAATTGAGAGTGGAGCACGCAATCTACTAAAGTAGAGGAGAACGAGATAGAATTTTATACGGACTGCTACTGAGCTCGGTCGGGCTTGGCTGCAGCTCGGCATCTCGGTCGGGTGCTGATCGCGGACAGGTTACGCGGGTCTCTCCCGGGGCACATCGCAGAAAGTGCAGACTGGTGTCGCGGACGCGGGTCGGTAGCGATGGTCTCGGGCGCGTGCGGTCGCGGGTCTCCTACGCCTACTAAGACTGGGCGCGGGAGACTGGGGTCACGCATG